CCATCTTGAAAGGTAGCCTTTGCATCGAAGCGAGACAACCGTTGAGTGTGCAATGATAGAAATCTTCTTTCACACCTACCAACAATTATTCACAGGTTTCTATCATTGTACGCTCAACGGTTGTCTCGCTTCGATGTAAAGGCACGGCTACCTTTCAAGATGGCGCAGGTAACTGTGAAGGAGTCAGACTATCAGTATATTTTGCGAGAAAAGTTGTTGAAGGGGTGACCGAACTTCGGATATATTTCAACGCTACGCGCAACAGCACTAACAAGTTGCAAGACGATCCCTGTTACACTGTTAAGCGGGCAAATATGTACTTTCATCGGGATACTTTGCATAGATTATCGTAATTTGTGGTTGCGCGAGTATAGATCACCCATAGGTCACGAGTTTTATAACTTTTTTACAACTCATAGTTCTTAATGAGTTTTATAACTTTGTTTATGTAGTGGTASTGTTTGATATAAAAGAAGGTCAATCTGAATTACCAAAGAAGTTGAAGTACGCCATTCGATTAACAACTGAACGCTGGGAAAGATGGAGAACAGATAAAACATATCCAGGTTGGCAAAGCCCAGGACCAAGCCAATATTCGTAAGAATGCTAAATTTTCAAATGAATTACTTTTTTTAGAGYGCTGATCATGTTGTAGGGAAACATTGGTTCTGCTTGATGAGGACAGTACACCTAACAGCGACCGTTGCGCAATATCTAAAAAGCAATCCACCAATTTCTCCATAAGATGGACGTCGATCATTAGCACATTGTTTTTCAACCTGCGTCAAATTAACTCCTAAAATATTTCACTCAGAAGTTCTGAAAAAAACCCTGTTCCGTTGAAAACCTTGATCAAAAAATCAGATTAGTGCATAACCTCAAAAACCACTGATTTCMCCCGAGACTTTCTATTAGGCATCACCTTATTGTCACATGCTTTTTTTCAGTCAATATACAAGTAATTCGAGGTTTATATACATCCAATATGCAGTTGATATGGCTATTATCCAGGAAAAGACCAACATCTCCTCCGTACTACCTTTGAATTTACAGGTAACGAAAATAATTAACGTTAAAGTAGCTGTTCTATATGTATAGTTTAAAACACTCGGGTGTTTTAAACGGCTTAAAAAACTCCAACACTAATATGAAACTCAAATCCGTTAAAATTCTTTGAGAAATTGCCGTACAAATATGTTCAGAGATAAATGGGGCAAACTGATCACGCGCGAATCACTTTACAAAGCACTCTTGTCATCCCACATTGAATACGCATAAAGTAAAATAGAACTGCTCTTGGCTGTTCACTGAAATCGGTTGACATCCTGCATTGGTCANACGGTTGACGGGAGTAACCCAATTAAGACCCTCAAAMAACCTTTAGTCGTGCAAATCTCCATTGCTTGCTGCAAGACTATGAAAGTCCCCCTCGGCCTCCTGTATACATGCTGTCACATCATTTAGTGTTAAAAAATATTAGACTTCTTTAATTCTTCTGTTTACTAATTCAGTTTTCCTTGTTTTCTGTTTTCACAGCGATTTCCGTACCCTGATTACATTACKCGTCGGAATGTTTATTCTGGCGGAATAATAGAGCTGATGCCTTTGCTATTCACTTTGGCATTCATCTATTCTGCTATGTCAATAATTAAGGTAACTTATAGACCATATGAAAAAGAACGTGGCTAACATAACGTCATAGTTAAAAATATTATAATGAGTAAGATCTGAAAGTTTCAATGCTCTAACATTTACATGTAAGGACCAGAAATTACAGGTGTATGAAATTGCAAAGGCTTATTAGCCTCGTTTCGTTTTTGGTACATGTTAACTGCTAGTAGCTCTGCTGATATTCAACATTTGAAACTATCCGTCAATTTATGGTGATTTTTATAAACATGGACAATTACTCATTCAGTTACTCATTCCCAGTCTTCTGCTCGTTTTTCATATCAAAAAAATCAAAAACTCTCTTTCACCAGGAGCCCATTACTAGGAGCCTTCCTCTTCCCATGGGCTTGTGGAACGGCATTTACCCCTATTGGTGCTATTTTTAGATTTTCCCGCCATTCCCCGCGCGCTTATTGATGCCGAGTTGTGAAGAGCCGCCGGCCGCCGTCGCCGCCGTCAGGTGTTTTTAGATTGAATTTTATGTTTGTACAAGTGAAGAAATTTTCGCTTTTACAAAAACTATTTTGTAACAAAGGTTCAATGGCACCATTAACTATTATATTCAAATGTCTAAAGATAGTGAAAAGGTATAAAAAAAAGCGAAAAAAGCTCATACATGAAAGAATCGCCATGTCTGGTCTCTTTATCGACGAATGTGATCAAAAAGCATGACAGGAACACAAAATAATCTATTCTTATAATAGTTCTTTATCTAAAAAAATGTGACATCACAAATGTAATCAAGCCGCCAATAGCGACACAACTCGAAGATTGTTAGACAAATATACCGTGGACATAAATCTGTATGAAGCCTCAGACTTTGTTCAGACCTCAAAAATCACATTTTGTGTGTTTAAAAAGCCATTTCTGCATCAAAACACCTGGCCATCTTGGTTACGGATTTCTGAATGCCCGTATGTTTACAGAAAAAATAAGTGACCTATTAACTAGTCCACCTCACCTCACCTCACACACCATCATCTATCTCCCTCCTATAACTCTTCGATTGCTTCGCAATCTTCGAGTTAAAAATTAGCATTTAATAAATTTGTTTGTGACAGTTTTKTACAATATTTTGCATCTAAACAAAAGCTCTTCACAAATGAAGTTACCTTAACGGAATTTCGTCGATGAATAGTCCTCTAAAATGTGTTGGGTAAAATTGTTCTTTGGTCATATAAATTGAGTCAAAAATCCAAAAAGAGTTCCATTCAATGTCCATTGCCCCATTGGCATGTAAAAATTTGCAATCAACCATCAAGAACCCAATCTAAGATTACTTGCTTCTTTTTGCTCAAGTTTGCTCAAGTTGAAAATTTTCCGCTTTTGTACAATTTGAACCTTCGTTCCTCGTCTTCAACAGCCATTTTGAATTCTGATTATAAGTTAAAGATCCAGAGTGTGATTTGAGTCGATTTGTTTTGCTTTTGCTGTCCAATGAATTTTGTGGTCTTCGGCTGCTCAATGAAAAGTTCAAAATTCGTGTTGGTTGTTTTTTTCTCCAGATTTTCCCCTGTATTCCCAAGATTAATTACACCTGTCTTCTATGACTGGCTTCCTCATCGGCTAAATATGAAGCGAAAGGTGATTCTGCTTTCATTTTTGGGACATATTTCTACTAAAAGTTAACTTTAAACACCCTGAAAGTAAATTTTGAATAGTCTAGTACTAAGTTCTTCCACCTCGGAACTGCCGGCGGTCGACCGGAGGCCGGGCGGTCGGTCATTCAGAAACCTATATTGTTCAAGACGCTTTTCGATTGGCTGTTTTGCGCTGAACTTATAATGAGCAATTCTAAAAATAGCACCAAGAGGGGTAAATGCCGTTACAAGAGCTTATGAAGAAGAGGAAGGCTCCTAGTAATGGGCTCCTGCTTTCAGGAAATTGTTTTCGAGAAACAAAACCGTTTGAAAGAGTCCATGAAAATGATGGGTCTAGCCAACTGGGTCCACTGGGCAGCCTGGTACATCAAATGTTTATTGTTCTTAATGATCAGTCTTGTTTTTACTACTGCGATCTTAAAGGTAAAAGTTTAAGTGACAATTAACATATTATCATTCCTATTCTAATACACAAACCTCTGTGTTTTTAAGGGCTTCGAGATATTTGAACATACCAATGGCTTTTTGTTATTCTTGTTTTTGTTGTTGTATGCGATGTCGGGTATTTCCTACTGCTTCTTCATCAGGTATAAAAAGTACTGTTGCAATTTTTTTACTCAACAAAACTTGTCGTTGTCGCTGACATTGATGACATTGCCATGATCAGACTCGTAAACAGTCGCTTCTCTACAGCGACGCGCAATGTGTGGTTTCTCTCCTTCCCATCAGTCCCTTCGAACGTATCGAATGATAAAGCGTAACGACTGGGTACTAGTCTGTTTCTTCTGCATGCTCATTTTTCAAAAGGACTTCAGCGCTCAGAATTTCGTCTTGAGTTAAATGATATTATTCTTCTTGTAGTGTGTTTTTTTCCTCTCCACCTCTGGGTATGTTGTTTGGTTCTGTGCTGTGGATTGCTGCCTTAGTTCCTGGATTAATCTTAAGTACATTTAATAATGAGTACGATCAGCTTGATTGGTGAGTCCTGTTACAACTTGAA